CGATTCAATCGCAACTCAGCCTGACAATTAGCCTCTCCCTCTTATTTCATAGTAATTGGAATAAGCAAACGTACCAAACCCATTGGCTCAAGTGTTCTGCCATTGCATGGAAGCTCTTATGAGGATGCTCATTTACTAAGCAGTGCATCACCTTTTTGCTATATTTTGGAAGCTGATAACATGGACAACCAAACATCAAGCGGCCCACTATACTTGCGCAAAATATTGGTGCTGACCTGAAAACAATCAGTAAAGAATCAATGAAGCATTTTCAGAAGTGCAAATGAAATAATCTGCTCATTCATGCGGCACGAGAAAAACTAAGAAGGGTGAATCAAAAAAAATTTCCAAATACATTCTCAATATAGGCAGCAAATGGAAGGATTTTACAATAATCTAGATGTTTATGAGAACTGATCAAAACCATCCAACCCAAAATGAAATTATTGATTTTTAACATTAAACGTTTGCTTTTGTTTACAAGTTTGATCCAAATAAAAACATAAATCTCAGATTGAATCTTTGAAGCTCAAGCATAATTGGTTAGTAATTCTAGATGGTCCATGTTTCTTATCTTTGCTATCTGCTATCTAGACTGCATCCTCTCTTGCTTTAGCCTCTCCACTTACCAACTTTGACTTCTCTTTTTTTATTTTATTTTATTTTATTTTCTTGTCATGGTTTTTGCAAGTCTTCGAAGTGGAAGAGTTGCTCGTGGCAGAGTTTGAGTGTGGAAGTGTGAAAGAGGAAGAATGCTTTACAACCTTTTGTCCTTTTCCTTCCTTTCCAGCCTGAATATTTGAAGTGATATTCTATGTACTCTCTTGATCTGCCATCACATATATTTTCTCTAAATTTTTGCTAACATTCAGCCAAGAAAACAATCTGAAATATTAGACCTGAAGTTGATTTCAAGGAGAGGCAGGAATATTAATGCAATCAAGGTAGCTTGGCCAAAAGCAAATAACTAATACTTGAGTCTATTGCTTCTTTGTCTCTCTCCAAGCTTTTAAGCTAATAATTCAACTGATCAAAGTAACTCCAACAGTTATGTCGTAAGATATGTAGTTTGCATTCCTCATAATGGGGTGGATAAAAAGTTAGATTTTCCCTTTAAATTTGTTTAGAAATCTTGCTTCAATTAAAGATTTGGATAATTATAGGGAAATGACCTTTCAGAACTCAGAACTGATGATCTGACAAAAGTAATTTATAATTTTCACTTGAAAATTACCAATCTAACACTGTTGGACTTGTTAAAAAATTGACAAGAAGCCTGACCCTGCCAATCCAAGAACAGCCCTTATACTAATTCATCATCTTGCACAAAAGTTTAATAAGAAAATACAAGATCTTCAAGGGAAAGGAAGATGAAGCAGGTTATGAAAGAAACAGATATAGAGTCACATGCATGCATTTGCATTGCATCTGTGTTTATATGCTACACTAAAGAATTTCTAACCACAAAAATAGCTCTGGTACACATATAAGAAAACTGCATAACTAGACTCCAAAACGTACTTTGAATGAAAGGAAAAGAAAGCTCGAAAGTGAGAATTCCTTACAAGTTCCCAGGCTTCAATGCTTCGTGAATTTTCATGTACTAGTTTTCTGCTTATAAAACAAAGAATTGAAAAGGAAAAGATCCAATAAATCCCAGCCCAAAATTTGCATAGTCAACAAAAGATATAATAACAGGTCAAAAAGGGGGATCAATGACCCCATCAGAAGGGCCTTTCACAAGAATAATACAGGGTAGCAATTTTGGGACACCACTCTACTACTTCCACTTGTTAATTTATTATTTTAACTCGAAATCAATGCTGTCATCATGTTCTAGTTAATTTTAAAATAACACCCTATCCCCTCTATTTCCCACAGTGCAAAAATAAATGATAACGCCATATTTTTCTACCAACATTTTGAGTGATTGAAGAACTCTCTATCAAATGATGAAAAAAAAAAAAGTTCATATTTGGTACAAGGTGCCTAAATGTGAATTTTGGGGAATTTAGCATCAATGCCTTTTATTTGGGCTAATTCTTGCCTGATTCTTCAAAATTCCCCAGTACATTAAAGAGAGAGAGAGAGAGAGAGAGAGGAGATCGAGTGTTCTTCACTATAGTTGTATAAAGTGTTATAGTACTCATTGATACAAGTTCTTTGACGGCAGATATGGAAATTTTAGATCTCTTTGAGAGTCTGAGACATAATAAGAGAATTACAGTCATCGTAAAAATTGAATAAAATTGTGGAAGCGTCAAACTTCAATATTAATGAAAAGATGCAGTATACATGCTAACTACTAGTCCACTAAAATTAAAATTTCAGAAACAAAGTTTTCAGCAGATGGCACAAGCTATTTTCAGTTTCTGTTGAATTCAATCAAGCAGCAATAACACAAGCTGCTTTCATAATTGGCACTCATCCAAAAGATTAAAGGATGACCTAGTAAACATAAAGCATCCCACATTTGTAGGTCTTGATGTACGTAGCTTTCCCCCTACTTTGTAGAGAGACTGTTCGATAGCTCGAACCCAACACCTCCAGATCACAAGTGGAGTAACTATACTGTTATACTAAAGCCACCCTCACCCGTACAAAACATTAATGAAACAAAATTTAGCCACGGGACACCAAAAGGGATGGACCAGCAATAATCCAAAGCATTCTCACTCAATAATCACTGTTGTGTTTGACATGCAAACTTGTTAAAGAAAACCAACTGCATGCCATGAATCAAGCATAGTACAATTAGACAAAATGGAAAATAACATTCCTGAAAAGTTTAGTAATGTGGCTACTCACAGAAGAACTAAAGGTAGTGCTGGAAATATGAGAGATGAGAAATGAATAGGAAAACAAGAAGAAGAATATCAGTAAATCAATAGGCAAACTCGGGCCTGCCATCTAGCTCAAAGCAAAGCCTATCAAGTATCAACATCGCAAAGGACGCCCAGAGAATAATTGATATCTTTCAATTTTAGAATAATAAAATTTAAGGATTCCTAATCCTATGATGTTTAGTATTTGTATTTTAATAATTTCCTTTTCCTTTTATGATTAGAATTTCTATGGTTTCGTTATAAAAACAGAGCAGTGTTCAAGAAGTTGTGTTGTTCTCTTTCATTATCTGATACCTCCAAACTTTCAACCATGGAGATGATTTTGCATGATTGCTCGACTGAAAGATACCAAATTGGACCCCCATTTTCTGATTATCTTCTACCTTTCCTCGAAAATGCTCCTTCAAATCCTACGGGAAACTTTGTCCTTGTACCAGATGGACTCCATTGTCCCACTTGCTTCAGCGTCCATGGCTATCCATCTCAAGAACTAAGCCATAAAGAAAGTAAAGATTTTCTTTTACTTCTTGAACACTGTCCTTGTTTTTGTGCTTATATAGGATTGCCAAGGTATTGGATAATGGATTATAATGATTTCTTAAATTCATATTTTAGTAGACTTGATAGAAAATTTGATTCTTTGGAGTCTTTAACAGTAAGGACTCGAAATCTAGAAGAGAAGACATGGAAATTAGTAAGAGAAAAGGAGACTATTAAAGAAAAATTCTCTGTCGGTGTAGTTTTTGAAAAGTTAGGGGAATTACCAGAAGGAATTCTTGACGATTACAAATTTTTTTTTCCTAGGATTTTGGATTTTCTTTACGAAAATAGGGTAGGTTTTGTAAAAGGTAAGTATTTAGTCGTATCTCCAGAGCTTTTATTGCGCATTTGTGAAGGAGATATCAGTCTTTTCTTAAAGTATCTTTCTGAAGCATATTCTTTAGTCCAATCTAAATATTGCTCTGTTTCAAGAATGGCAATTGAAGGAGGTTTTTGGCAACTTTGTCCTGAATTTGGAGGATTTTTCTGGAAAAATATAGATTTAAGGAATAATTTTGGTTTCTTGAAAGAGTTCTTGAAAGAAAAGATGATTTTAGTTAAGAATTTTTCACTTTCAATGGGTCCTTATTATTTGATTGGAGGTGGATATTTTTCTTACATATATAATACTAATGGAGATTTAGTGGTATGGTATATTCCTAATTTTTGGGATCGACATAACTTTGGATATAGTTTCCAAGACAAAACAATTTATCACAATTCTAAGCACTTTTGGTATGGCATCGAGGAATCTGAATTTGGTTGCTGCTATAATGGGATTACGGAGGAAATCTGTGACTCGAATATGCTACAATATCTCCGTGACACTGATAGCTATAATGGGATTACAAAGGAACTCTGTGACTACGACATGCTACAGTTTCTCTGAGAGAGTGATAGCTGATGTGTATATATATATATATATATCTTGTAATAGAAAAGCCCTAAATAATGTTTTTGTCCTCCCAAGTGTTGGTTCACAGAAAAATACCCAGAAATCTGTTGTGGGAATTGCTTTAAATAACAATACAACTTAATAGGCTAGAAGTTGGAACTCCAACTGTTTGTCGTTTAATCAAATAATTCATTTTTTTTTTATTTTTTTTTTCTTCTTATTGATATTGTTGTAACGTTTTTGCATTTATCGCTAAGTTTGAAGCACACAGATAACTTAGACCTAAGTTGCATTAACAAAAGGAAGGAGACAGTCGCACGCAGAGAAGAATTTTACCCCTTCATTGTCCTAAATCACAAATTAAAAATCACACTCTAGCAGCAGCAGCAGGATTTCAATAATGTGCTAATTAGGCCTCAATTAATTTAACCATAGCTGTACATATTCTTGATTTCTCAACCACACACATTAATCCTATCACAGGCTGTTTGTGCACCCTAAGATTGCAATCATTAAGGCTGTAGAGGTTCATGAGGATCCTCATCAAAGATCTGTTGAAGACATTAAAATCATTCCAAAGTGGCCTTAAGCTGGCTGCGATACCAAAGTGGATTATGTTGAGCAAGATAATAAATAAATCATTAAAATCTTTTTAATTTTAACATAATATACACTTTCATTCTTTTTTCTTTGTTTGTTAGTTAATTCATAACATGTAGTTCATGATCAAAGCATTTGTTTTATAGTTAAATCCATTTGAAAGGTCTCTTAATACACGTGCTTGTCACATGTAGAAATATTATTATTTGTACTCAACATGTGAAACAAGCAGCAGAAGCAATTTTTAGATTTTATATAATTTAACTTCCAATTAAAGGACACAAAAACAATCAAACTAAACTGAACAAAGAATCACAACACAATTTGTCAAGTTTGAAATATCCTCCAACTCCATTGCTTCTGTGTCTGTACTTGTGATTCTTGAATCCTCATTGGAAAGACTTGATATGCATTGACGAACGCTAAAATATCATGTCAAAAATACTACTCAGCATATCCCATTTATTCTGTATAATACCTATACATCGATCTTTCTGAGCGTGTTTACGTAAGTATAACTAGAAAACGCAACAAAAAGCTTGCGGAACCTGCAGGATTTGTCAAAAATAGAGCAGAGAAGTCAACTATGTGTTATTCCTTGTTATTTTCAATTAAATCAATAGAAATGAAGAAGTAAAATATATCTAAGCAGCACAGATGCCAAAAGTCATAACTGCAAATGAGTTGATTCAATCCCAACCCAGCCTCACAATTAGTCTCCCTCTTATTTCCTAGTAATTGGAATAAGCATACGTACCAAACCCATTGGCTTGAGTGTTCTGCCATTGCGTGGAAGCTCTTATGAGGCTGCTCATTTACCAAGCAGTGCATCGCCCTTTTACTGTATTTCGAAGCTGATAACATGGACAACCAAACATCAAGCGACCCACTATACTTGCGCAAAATATTGGTACTGACCTGAAAACAATTAGAAAAGAATCAATGCAGCAGGTTTAGAAGTGCAAATGAAATAATCTGATCAATCATACAGAGGGAGAAAAACTAAAAATGGGTGAATCAAAAAATTTCCAAATACATTCTCAATTTAGGCAGCAAGTGGAAGAATTTTATGATAATGAACTGATCAAAACCACCCAACACAAATGGAATTATTGGTGTTTGACATGAAATGTTTGCTTTTGTTTACAAGTTTGATCCAAACAAAAACATAAATCTCACATTGAAGTATATTGAATCTTTGAAGCTCAAACATAATTGGTTAGTAATTCTTGATGGTGACATTGTTGGATGCTATCCTCAAACCATGTTTCTTATATTTGCTATCTGCTATCTAAACTGCATTCTCTCTTGCTTAGCCTCTTCACTTACCAACTTTGTCTTCTTTTTTTATTTTTATTTTTTTTCTTGTTTCATGGTTTTTGCAAGTTTATTAAGTGGAAGAATTGCTTGTGGCAGAGTTTGAGTGTGGAAGAGTGAAAGAGAAAGAATTCTTGACAAGCTTTTGTCCTTTTTCATCCTTGCCAGCCTGAATATTTGAGTGATATTCTATATACTCTCTTGATCGGCCATCACATGTATTTGCTCTAAATTTTTTGCTAACAGTCAGCCAAGAAAACAATCTGAAATATGAGATCTGAAGAAGAATTCAAGGAGAGGGAGCGATATTAATGCAATTAAGGTAGCTTGGACAAAAGCAAATAATTCATACTTGAGTCTATTGCTTCTTTGGCTCTCTCCAAGCTTTTAAGCTAATAATACAACTGATCAAAGTAAGTCCAACAGTTGCGTTGTAAGATATGTAGTGTGCATTCTCATGATGGTGTGGATAAAAAGTTAGATTTTCCCTTTAAATTTGTTTAGAAATCTTGCTTCAATAAAAGATTTGGATAATTATAGGGAAACGACCTTTCAGAACTCAGAACTGATGATCTGACAAAAGTAATTTATCAATTTCATTTGAAAATTACCAATCTGACAATGTTGGACTCATTAAAAAATTGACAAGAAAGTCTGAGCCTGCCAATCCAAGAACAGCCTTTACACTAATTCATCATCTTGCATAAAGGTTTAATAATAAGAAAATACAAGATCTTCAAGGGAAAGGAAGATGAAGCAGGTTATGAAAGAGAAACAGATATAGAGTCACATGCATGCATGTGTGTTGCATCTGTGTTTATATGAACTATTTTAGCAACACTAAGGAATTTCAAACCACAAAAATAGCTCCGGTATGCATACAAGCAAACCGTATAACTAGACTCCAAAACATACTTTGAATGAAAGGAAAAGAAAGCTCGAAAGAGGGAATTACTTACAAGTTCCCAGGCTTCAATACTTCTTGAATTTTCATGTACTAGTTTTCTGCTTATACAACAAAGAATTAAAAAGGAAAACATTCAATAAATCCCAGACCAACATTTGCATAGTCATCAAAAGATATAATAACAGGTCAAAAAAGGGGATCAATGATCCAATCAGAAGGGCCTTTCACAAGAATAATACAGGGTAGCAATTTTGGGACACCACTCTACTACTTCCACTTGTTAATTTACTATTTAACTCAAAATCAATGCTGTCATCATGTTCTAGTTAATTTTAAAATAGCACCCTACCCCCTCTATTTCCCACGGTGCAAAAATAAATAAATAAATAATAACGCCATATTTTTCTATACTAAGATTTTGAATAGCTGTCCCGAACAACATTTTGAGTAATTGAAGAACTCTCTATCAAATGATAACTACTAGTCCACTAAAATTAAAATTTCAGAAACAAAGTTTTCAGCAGATGGCACAAGCTATTTTCAGTTTCTGTTGAATTCAAACAAGCAGAAATAACACAAGCTGCTTTGTAATTAGCAGTCATACAAAAGATTAAAAGGCCGACCTAGTACAAAAAGCATCCCACATTTGTAGGTCTTGATGTACGTAGCCTTCCCCCTACTTTTGTAGAGAGACTATTTCCAAAGCTTGAACCCAATACCTCCAGGTCACAAGTGGAGTAATTTTACAGTTACACTAAAGCCACCATCACCCATACAAAACATTAATGAAACAAAATTCAGCCACAGGATGCCAAAACGGATGGAATAGCAATAATCCTAAGCATTCGCACTCAATAATCACTGTTGTGTATGACATGCAAACTAACGCTTTTAATGAGACTTAACTTCTCTGCTTTTAAAGAGCAATATTTACTGCTTGACGGAACAACACAACAATCTAAGCCCTCCAATGTCTCCTTTGCTCATAAGAAAGCAATCAAAGCAGGTTGGATTAACGGGAATGAACATAATCTAGAGAGATCTATCTAAAAGGCTTCTTTAGATGGTTTGAAGTAAAGGTTCGAGAATCTGAAAAATGAATATATAAATGGCATGTTCTCGTAACTAATTAGAATCAACATGATAAATGTCAACAGTAATTATAGTTGCATAGCAAGGCCATGATAGGTTTTTTTAGCATAAAAGTCGATCAAATGCAGTAATTAACTTACCGTACCCCATGGTGCACATCACGGTGATTACAATGACCTGAAATGCCGTAACTATCGAAAGTAACAATCTGTAAGAAAGTAATTGAGAATAATCACAATTAACGTGAGTATGTGACATTAAAAGGCAGACATGATATCCAGGATATTTTCAGCTCCTTAACATGCATAAATTCAGGAATCTGATACTAACTACTGGACAGTCTAAGCATGGCAAAAAAACAGCTCAAATTGAAAATAGGAACCAAAACTCTTACCACATCAATGTCATTACTAGATACTTCCTCTTCAATGATCTTTGCCAACATTTTATGGTCCCAAACTTGGCCAAAACCATCCTAAATCACGATAATGTATTAAAATAAAGATGCCTTAATAAAAAATTTCAATTAAAACTATACTGCATGCATTTTTCAAAAAGCTGAAAGTTGAACCTGTAAATCTGAATGATCCAAAACCTTCACCTTTTGAAATGGAACCTGAGTATGCAAAATCATAGGTTATTAACTGGAAAAGAAGATGCAGTTAAATAGCTTTGATTTTGTAGTTCTTACGTCATATTCTGTTTGTTTCTAAGGCTTTAAATCAGTTATATATTGGATTGGTTGACAAATATGTACAAGAATGAATTTATAACTCAAATTTCATACTATAGTTTGCTGATCTTGAAAATCACCTTGAGGACTGCACAAGCTTTATACAGTTCGCGTTTTCTAATATTTCCTATACCATCTGCATTTCCTGTGTAACAAATTAAACTAAAAGGCCTGAAAAAAAAAATAACAAATATGAAAAAGTAAAAATTGCAATACAAATATTGAAGAAACGGCGTATCCACCAGATATGCATAAGAGATCTTATAATGCTAACATAGATTTATGGAAATAAAATAATTGCATAATAAATAAGTAATGCCTAACCAGGACGAAGCAACACTAATTGACGATAAATTTAGTGAAAAGTGACTGAAGTTGTTGGGCCATATACAGTATACATAGCATATGTGCACAGACAGGAAAAAAACATATAATCCAAGTTATACGAGTGATTAAAACAAGAGGTAGACCAAGGATTTCAAGGAAGAAACCAACAGACTATTGAAAGTGCTTCAGCAACATACTTTAAGACCTATGTGCATACACTGATCATCTCCACCTACTAACCTAATCAGCTTAGGCAATACATATAGCAGCCTAAGATCCTGATAATTCCTAGTTTCCTACAATTATATGAAATCTTCATACGAAAGACCACCTGCCTAGATTTGGGAGGTTTATTTGATTTTCAAGAGCATTCTGGATGCAATGGGTTTCACGGAAACCATTTCCCTTTTAATTTGGAGCAGAGCTACGAGTGTGGACAAGATTCACAATCTAGAAGACACCCATTTAACAAAAGATTTTTTTATGATAAAAGGAAAAAAAATCTAAACTACTTGATATGGGAAGAAAGTCAACGAGAACACAGATTAAAAAACACTTGTTTGATAATCATAACAGATAAAGTGTAGCAACTCAACTAAACTGCGGCTTACATCATATAAAAAAAAAAAATGAATGTTTCTCAATGCAAAAGTTTGTTGAGCCCAAATTAAAAAATAATATGTGTTTGTGTGTGTGTATGTGATGGAATGAATTACCTATAGACAAGCATAGAATGTGAAGATTGTGCCCTCTTGAAATCAGATAGTTTATTGTTGGAGAAAAGAACCTGCAAAAGTAATATAATGTTTTATAACATAAAATACATAAGAAATCCACACGCACACGCAAGCGCACACACGTGTATATTCTAACATTTGACAATACTACAATGAGAAATTGATCTGCAACGACTCTGTAAAGAAACAAATCCATTATGGTTCCATGCTATGAACTTGTAATAAACAACAAGCAACACCATTGCAAAGAGAGCCAATTGCAACAGCATAATCGAAGCTTAGAAGCTTACATGGACTCATCATCAGGGTGAGCAACAACCAGCAGGACATTTTTCTTGCCAAGATCTCCACCTGATTTGAATGACAAAAAAGGTGTGGATTGTGAAATTTTAACTGAAATGTGTTCATCGAAAGTAATAAAACCATGGTTATACAAAACACTCACCATTGCTCAAAAAAGATGTCTTGGAAGGTGAGACTGATGTATGTAGAATTTTGCATAAAGAAGCAATCCAAAGCACAATTAGTGACAAAATGATCAATTGCCAGCCCATCTAACAAGCACCTGCATGAAACGAAGGTCATTGTTTTAACTTTTATTTATCCCTTTAATTAAAGGGCCAAAAAAAAGAGGAAATAGAAAACCCCAACTCGACGATTGTACCCCAAATATTTATTAGCTTATAAATGCCTATTAAACAAAAATACGCTAAATTTTGCATGTTGTTCAATTACCCTAAACTTTTAAACATTTTTCAGCATTTAATGCAACGATAACAAGTTTAATTTTCCACTATAAAAATAATGCATTCATACCCATTATATTTCCCAAACCTAATAAATACATGAAAATTCACTATTAACATCAAATAAAAAGCTGGCCATAATAATAAAATAAAATTTCTAGCACATTACCATAATTTCATATTGTCTAAATATAGTATAAGTTCCTCAAACATAATGCTGATTGCTTGATTTCAACTTCCTCTTATGCAAATTATCCACAAAACATCAATGTATAGAATCATCAATACCATATTGCAAAGGAATTAACTAAACCATATCACAACCTCAAAGATGAGCATGAACACCATTAAGCAAATAAAATTAAGAACAGAAATTTTCTAATCAATATCATCATTGATTAAACTTTCAAACATCATTAAAGCCCCTCCATACCAATCAAATCATATGAGAGAAAATAGAGAACCCAGTCACCTAATTTATGCAGAAAATAACAAAAGCCACTAACCTGCTGCTTTGATGATCTGATAATAAGAGCTAAGAGGTGTATTGAGGAGGAGATCAGCGGAGGAAGAGATCAGCGGATTTAGCTGATACGATGTCGTTTTCAAACAAACATTTTCTTTTCTTTTCTTTTATTCCGATATAACTGGGAACTGTTCTTTAAATATTTACATTTAAAAAAAATAAATGTTTATGATATGGTGTCATTTTTTATGGATTTTCCAAAGAGTAAAATGCTTTGGCGTCCCTAAATTATAGTCCAATTAACACTTACATCCTTCTATATTGAGGTAATAACTATGGCATCCCTAAATCACTGGTCCGTCAGATAAGTATATCCTTCCATCCAATTTCACTCATTTTTCACCATTAAAATTCAAATAAATTGGGTGGAGAAGAGAGAGAATATATTTAAAACCCTTGTTTCACATGAACTAAATGTAATAAAGGACTTACCCAAATAACTTCACAAAATCCCTAATTTGCAAACTAGAAGCCAACAAACTCACAAGAACACCCGAACTAAAAGCCTTACCCAGCTCTTCAAGAACAAGAAGATCTAAAAACAAAAATAAATTGGTTTCTAATTAACAACTTCAATATCAACAAGTTTGAAGAGAATAATTATAAGTTTAATTAGTAATATTACAATCATAGTCCTGATATGCAATTATTGAACTCTAGATTGCCCAGCCAAAGATTACAACTAAAAAGAAAAGGACAAAATAACACCAATTCACTTACATATCAAGTGTGAGCAGCAGCATTTAACAGTAATAGAAATTAAAACAACCCAACCAAGAAATTTTGAAAAAAACTCAAATATCAAAATCCAGACACATTTTGCATTTTTTTGCTGTATGGGGAGTAACTGACTCTCGTGTGCTTGTATAAGCATAACTCAAGATAGCAATGAACCAGTAAAACCCAGTGTAAGATACGATTCTGGGAAACTTCTGAATCTTTAGTATTTCTTTAAACCCATCGTAGAGCATCATGATTGCAATTATACAACCTCCACCTAAAATATGTAATGCAACTAGACAGTAATTAGGACATGTAATCGAACAGCTTATTTGCACAGAGATACAAAGAAAAGTAGAATGGTTTCTAATTAACAACTTCAATATCAACAGTTTGAAGAGAACAAAAATAAATTTAATTAGTACCGATTCAGAAGCCAAGACGAGGTAAGTGGCCGGAGACTGCTGTGGCACGGTGAGGCTGAGAGCGATCAGAGATGGCGTGAAGGGAGGAGGAGATGGTTTCCGGCCCGATTCAACCCTTTCGATACAACTTAAGTTTTATCGGTCCGATTCAAAACAAGGTTCTAGGTTTGTGTCGATCATTTCCTGTTTGATTTGGTCTGATCTTGGTTTTCTTAATTTCTCTAGACTTTTCCTTGGGTTGGGTTTGGTATGAAGTGCACATGGGCCACCTGACTGGGTTTTAGCTTGGGCTTGACCCAAAACCCTTGGTCCAATTTAATTTCGCTAACTTTATATTTGTTAAAGATTTATTTTGTAATCTTGCTAGTTCCTATTATGAAATTTTATATTGATTTATTTCTAAATTCGAAACTTTTGAATTTAATAAATCGTGATACAATTTGAAAATTAAGGTCCTTATTAGTGTACTAGTTTTCTGGACACATTATTTGTACCCTTTGCAAATAAATATAATTTAATATATATATTGAATGCACATGGGCCACCTGACTGGTTTTTAGCTTGGCTTGACCCAAAACCCTTGGTCCAATTTAATTTCGCTAACATTTAATTTTGTTAAAAGATTTATTTTGTAATCTTGCTAGTTCCTATTTTATGAAATTTTATATTTGATTTATTTCTAAATTTCGAAACGTTTTGATTTAATAAATCGTGGATACAATTTTTTGAAAATGTAAGTCCTTATTAGTGCTACTAGTTTTCTGGACACATATTTTGTACCCTTTGCAAATAAAATATAATTATATATATATATATATATAATTTTCTATTAATTTTTTTATAAATTTTTGTTATAAATTATAATATTATGAAAAAATTTTAATATATAATCGTTATATTTCATAAAATCTAGGATCCATATGTAGTTTTTTACTCGTGTTAAATTTTACTAAAATTGAGATCTTTGGCTTCTAAAATGTTCAATAACACTTCTTTATGTACTCAATTCCAAATAGCATAACTTAACAAGCTAACTAAGATCTAGCCTGCCAGCTAAGGCAAAGATCATTACATTTATGAATTTTAACCTCATCCTCACCTTCTTAGATTTGTATGTTATTGCTTTAATTTGTAATCATATTGCAAAATATTAAATTTCTTATAAAAATAATACAATCAAATATAGAAAATCAAGCTGTAAATTGAAAATGATTAAACTTATTACAAAAATAACAGATAAAGATTAAATTAAATATAAAAAAATCAACTTGTAGGTGACAATTATAAATAAAAGAATTAAATATAGATAAATTAACATATTGATCGAAGAGTATTAAATTATTATAAAAATAATAAATAAACGTTGCAATTAAATATAGAAAAATCAACACATACTTAACAACTACGAATGAAAGAGTCATGTACATATTAATTAATTGTCATGAATTTAGTATAAGCAAACATGTTATATCTCTATGTAGCAAATCATTCATCAAATAGTAACTGTCTTTCTTCTGCCAAGTACAAAACAATAGTAAATCTAAGGCTCCATTTATTTTCAAACAATAACTTACTTTTGAAAAATATTTGTCATAGTTTATTTTCTATTGTTTTATTAAAATATTAAAAATTAGTTAAAAATATACAAATTTATCATTGAAATATTCAAATAAAAAATCGATTACAAATACTATAAAAATATCATTTATAGTGAATCAAAAAAATTTTATAGTGAAAATCAAACAAAGTTTTGATAATCAAATAAAATAAAATTTATCTGACAAAATAAATAAAAATTTTGATGATTTTTTCTCTAGAGAAAGTAAACATACATATATAATTGATAGTTGCAGAAATTAAACAAAAAGTAATACAATAAAATAGTGTTTTGAGAATATGTCAAGTATTTTTACAGAGAAAATATGACGGTTTTTTACAGTTACGATGTAGTCGGTAGACATAGGAATAGAAGCAAGACGAGTATTTTAGGATACTTCTCTCCCCTTCCCCCTCCTTCCTCATGCTCCGATCTATTTAATGAGGGTATAACTATTGTTTTTGTTCATTAACCAATCAAAATACATGATAATTATCATTATTAAATAATTACAATATAAATATTGGTTCAATATAGAGAAGTTGATGAAAATCAAACTTACTCAATATAATTACGTTAATATAATTTCAATATAAGTTGATTACAATATAATTATGTTAATAATATAGGTGAAATTTAGAAAGTTAATTGTGTGACAAGAAAATTACTTTAAGTTACGATTATATTTTTAGCAATAAAATTTGGATTAAAAAGGAAACACAATACCCAATCAAAATAAAGATTTATTAAGAATAATAATTTCACATTTTATTGCTTAGCCAATCAAATAGAGTGCAAATTGTCATTATCAAATTTGGTCATCCCAATTTTGACCTTTCCATTTCCACTTTTATATATACTAATTTTTTTTATGACATGCGTTGTATGTTGACTATGCTCGCTATATATTCATTTTTTATTTTATCTATATAATATTAAAACATAAGTTTTTATTTAGATTAAAATTAATACAAGTGGTTAATTTGTGTTAAATTTTGCCATACAAACTATTTGTAATGCTACTTATTATGCACTTAATTTTATTTTTATATGATAAAGTGATCTCAAACTGAATTGATAAAAGTAATCATTTTAGCTAAAATAGCAGCATTACTTACTAAGTGTATTATAGAAAGAAATATATGCACATACATACAGATTTTTGAAATCCCAAAAAGTAATCTAAAACAGAAGTATATAGTTCTAGTTTTTTTCCAGTTTCCTAAATACGATTTTCTTTCAAGTTAAACAGATTTAGAATATAAGAGAAAAAAAGTACCAAGAAAATTAAAAATGTTTAATCATCAAGAGACCATCTATTTATTGTAAAGGAAATATAAATCTCTTACTAAATTAAAATGAAAATAAGTAACCAAAGAAAAATTAAAAAATGTTTAATCATCACAGAGCCATCTATTTATTGTAAAAGGAATAATAAATCCTTCTTACACTAAATTAAAATGATAATAGTTACAATTATTCGGATACCGAAAAACGTAAAAGCTAATATATATATTCTAAACGCTGAATCAAAAATAACAAAATTGTTGGAACTCTCTCCTTTAAGTAATTTTTCCCTTTTTTTCTTTTTTTTGTTTTATACAAATTTTCCTATTTTTAATCAATTTTTTTTTAAACCATTTCTTTTTCCTATTATCTAATCTTTTCCCTATTACAAAAATTTTAAATATTCTAATTTTTTTTAAATTTTGAAATGTTCATTCAACTTTTAATACCTTTGAAACTTTTTTTTCATATAATATTATTATTCTTCATATTAATTCAATCAGTCATTTTCTTTCCACAATAGTTTTTTTTATTTTTTTTAGTCACTGAGTTTTGATTGTGTTCTCTTTATTTTATTTATATTCATTGTCTTTTCTTCTCTTTGATTAAGGTAAATGTTTAACTCTTGGTTCTTTTTTTCTTCTTTTTTTTTTATGGATCTTCTTTTTCTTTTGATATTCCCGTGATTTCTCTTACTATTTAAATTTATATTTATTTAATAATATTCTTCTTTATTATTTGTACATCAGTGTAGTTGTTGTGTGTAGTTGCACCGGCTACTCACAAGATAAAATACCATGTGAATGAAACAATGAAAACGGGAAGATAGAAAAGCTAAATTATAACCCATTTATGTGTTTTTTTGTCTAAATGTAACTTTTACTTTTTAGAATTGTAATAAACTGTAAATTTTTTTTTATATTATTGCGCTATTCAAATATATATAATATTTTAATTATTTATCAACATTTTAATTCATGTATTTATTTTATAGCATATATATATTTTTTTTATTCGGGTATATGACTACATTCAGGTAATTGATATGGATTTGAGTTTTTGAGTTTGATAAAGCAGTTTAATAACTAAAATTGAATAATAAATGGGGATAGAAATAAGTCATATATTATTTATTATTTACTTTATTTATTATTTTATTAATTATGTATTATCTCCATTGTAGGATAAAGAAGAAATCTTCTTTACTTCACTTGGCAGTTGATATACTATAAGACACTTAAATTCACATAAATTATATTTTAAAATAAAACACAATTTATTTTGATAAATTTAAAAATATAATGACATTTTTTAATAATAAAAAGGAAGTCTGATGATACCCTTATTATCAATTCATATTAAAAATTAAATATATATTTTGTATTTAAAATTTTAAT